TTTATCTAAGAGTGTAGCTGTATACAACGGATTAGGAGCATGTGGTTGTTTTTGCTGTATACTCAAAAAACCGAGAGCTTGGCTGCTGGAGGAATCGCTTCTCTGCTTTTGCCGTTTCCCTTTGTGCACATCTCAGAGCCTCAGGGCCTCACAAAATGTCTCATGGCCGCGAGCACAGGGATGTGAGGAAGGAAAGTCGTGGTGCAGCGACAGCTGCTTCCCAAAGAGCTCAGCAAAACGTGTGACTCTGTTCCCCTACTGAGATGTTAGTTCCGACTGCAGTGTTCTCTCCTCTCATGATTGCTAAAGGAACCTCTCTGAATCCTGTGGAATCAGAGCCCTATCAGGGTCTCTGGTGGTTTGTTTGTTTGTTTTTAGATATATTTATTTATTTGAAGGGCAGAGTTGCAGAGAGGCAGAGGCAGAGAAAGAGAGGTGTCTTCCATTCGCTGGTTCACTCCCCAGTTGGCAGCAATGGCCAGAGCTGCACCAATCTGAAGCCAGGAGCCAGGAGCTTCTTCTGGGTCGCCCATGCAGGTGCAGAGGCCAAGGACTTGGGCCATCTTCTACTGCCTTCCCAGACCATAGCAGAGAGCTGCATCGGAAGTGGAGAGGCCAGGACTCGAACTGGTGCCCATATGGGATGCTGGCACTGCAGGCAGCAGCTTTACCTGCTACGCCACAGCACCAGCCCCTGTGTATTTATTTGAAAGGCAGAGTTGCAGAGAGAGAGAGAGAAATCCTCCATCTGCTGGTTCACTCCCCAAATGGCCACAACAGCTGGAACTGGGCTGATCCAAAGCCAGGAGCCAGGAGCTTCTTTTGGGTCACCATGCAGGTATAGGGGCCCAAGGACTTGGGCCATCCTCTACTGCTTTCACAGGCTATAGTAGAGAGCTGGATCAGAAGAGATGCAGCCGGGACTCAAACCAGTGCCCATGTGGGATATGAGCACTGCAGGCGGTGGCTTTACTCTCTATATACCACAGTGCTGGCCCATCAGGATCTGTCTTGACATCGTGGTAAATCATCCCTCAACCTTGTATTGCAAAGTGTGAGTTGTAAACATATTTTTTTACCATACCCAGTCCTTTTGCCCCTAGTTTTCTAATTGCAGAAGGGGAAGTACCTTCTCATTACAGAAAAGTATTAAGAATATTGTAATCCCTCATAATCTATGCAGAAATAGCTGCTAGTGTTAGTGCTATATTCCTTGCGTGCTGTATTTTTTTTTTTTTTTTTTATAGGCAGAGTGGACAGTGAGAGAGAGAGAGAGATCTTCCTTTTGCCGTTGGTTCACCCTCCAATGGCGCTGCGCTGATCTGATGGCAGGAGCCAGGTACTTCTCCTGGTCTCCCATGGGGTGCAGGGCCCAAGGACTTGGGCCATCCTCCACTGCACTCCCTGGCCACAGCAGAGAGCTGGCCTGGAAGAGGGGCAACCGGGACAGAATCCGGTGCCCCAACTGGGACTAGAACCCGGTGTGCCGGCACCACAAGGCGGAGGATTAGCCTACTGAGCCGTGGCGCCGGCCAATGCTTTATTCTTTTAATGTGGTTGCGGTGAGACTGTAAAGAATGTTTCGTATCCTGCTCTTCTGTGACTTGATGACCATATCCTATCCTAAACTGGAATGCTGTCAGGTTTTTTGGCTTTGACCCAAAGTCTTAACAAAAATCCCTCAACATTTAATTTTTTTATATTGGCTTATTCATTTTACAAATGTCCAGGCACCTGACTTATACCAGGCTCCATGCTGTGTTTGGAGGAGGTACAGGTTATATCAGAAACTGGAAAGTCACTGGCTGGTCATTTCTGTTCTACTGACACCACCTACACTAGTTCATAGGAGGCTTTTCCCTCTTTCTCACGGTCTAACTGGAAATTAAACACAGTGACATCACTTGAAAAAAATGTTTTTGGGGCAGGCATAAAAGGTAAAGCCACTACCTACCATTCCAGTATCCTGTTGGGTGCTGGCTCATGTCCCGGCTGCCCCACCTCTGATACAACTCCCTGCTAATGACCTGGAGAAAGCAGTACTTGGGCCCCTGCTACCCACATTGGAGACCTGGAAGAAGCTGCTGGCTCCTGGGTTCAGCTTAGCCCTACCCTATCCATTGTGGCCATCTGAGGAGCGAAGCAGTGGGTAGAAGATAACATCCATCCCCCCCCCCTCTGTAATTCTGACTTTCAAATAAATAAATCTTCAAAAATTTTTTTGTTTATTTTTATTTTATTTGAAAGGCAGAGGGGCCGGCGCTGTGACATAGTGAGTAAAGCCGTTTCCTGTAGTGCTGGCATCCATATGGGCGCTGGTTCAAGTCCTGGCTGCTCCACCTCTGATCCAGCTCTCTGCTACAGCCTGAGAAAGCAGTAGAAGATGGCCCAAGTCCTGGGGCCCCTGCACCTGCATGGGAGACCCTTGCTCCTGGCTTTAGATCAGTACAGCTCTGGCTGTTGCAGCCAACTGGGAAGTAAACCAGCAAATGGAAGGCCTCTCTCTCTCTCTCTGCCTCTCCTTGTCTCTCTCTGTACGCTGACTTTCAAGTAAATAAATAAATCTTAAAAAAAGAAAAAAAGGCAGAAAGAGAGAGACAGAGATCTTCCATCCACTGGTTCACTCCCCCAAATGCTTGCAATAACCAGGGCTGTGCCAGGCCAAAGCCAGGAGTCAAGAACTACATCCAGGTCTTCCACATGGTGGCAGGGGCCCAAGTACATGAGCCATTAACTGCTGCTTGCTAGGGTGTGTATTAGCAGGAAGCTGGAGTGGAAGCAGAATAACTGGGACTCGAACCAGGCACTCTGATATAGGGTATGGGCATCCCAATGACAACTTACACCTCTGTGCCACAATGACTCTGTTAAGTTCTCAGACATCTCACGGGGCCAGGGAGTGCCATGGGAGAGGATGCTCCTGTTTTCCAGTAGCGACATTCCTCGGAAATGTGCTGCCCAGGCCCTCGGCCCAGTCTTGCAGTTACCTGTGCCGTGGCTGCAGCAGAGTTTATTTTTCCGAATTCAGTTTCATTTCGGGAATAATGCTTCGGACTAGCTGTCTCTTCCGTTCTCTTGCCTGTTCTTCGTGGTGCATCAGTCTCTGCATGGGTATCTATTGTGACTTTCCTGCCACCTTTAGAGAATCCAGGGCTGCTCACTTTAACCTTACTCCTTCAGAAGCTTCTGGTCTTCAGATCAGTGGACGTTCCCGTGGTCGTGGGAGAGTTCTGTGTCTGCACTGCCCAATAATACGAGCCTTTGAAATGCGGCTAATGCAACTGAGGAACCGCATTTTTAATTTTAATGAATTTAAACTCAAATTGTAACATGTGGCTCATGGCTACCATATTGGATAGTGCAGCTCTAAATCATCCCAGCTGACTCTACTGGTTTGTCCCACAGGAAGGATGGTTTGGCTTTTTTGGGTGTTTGTGCCGCTCAGGACTCTGGTTTTAACCTATTTTACTAGCAGCATAGGTGACGGGACCCAGGACTGCTTCTAGGGGGGGTCTTCTTGACGGGGAATGCCCGGAGCTTCTCAGGAGAGGCAGCTTTTGCGAGTGTGTCTGGCAGCAGCTCCATACGTTCTGGACGGAGGAAATAGGTTATGATTTCTAAATAAGGAGCGCTTTCCTCAGGGGAGGGGATTCCACCTGATGAAAAGTCAAGTGAAGAGGTGTTTTTGTTCCCAGCCAGATACATCATTTGTTAGCTTTTTCATGCTGTGGCGTCACCCTTGACCCCGCCTGAAATGTTGCTCAGATGCCTCTGAGTCATTGCCACTGATTTCCCTCTTGATCAAACGTTGCTGTAATATAGCCCATTTGAGAAGTTGGATGAATTCTCCTTGGATCCTTTGGCTGTATTCTGCTATTCAATGATTTGTCCTTTTTTCCTATTAGAATTTTCATAGGGTAAAATAGATATGCCAGTGTTTGGAACCCTGCCTTTCTTCTTCATTATATTTGAAGTCTTTTTTTATTTATTTATTTATTTTATTTTTTGTTTGTTTAAAAGGCAGAGTTAGAGAGAGAGACAGAGAGAAATCTTCCATCTACTGGGTCACTCCCCAGATGGCCACAATGGCCAGGGCTTGGCCAGGTGAAAGACATGAGCCCAGAACCCCATCCTGGTTTCTCATGTGAGTGGCAGGACCCAAGCAATCCTCTGCTGCCTTCCCTGGTACATTAGCAGAGAGCTGGATTGGAAGTGGAGCAGCCAAGACTCAAACTAGCACTCCGATGGGGGATGCTTGCATTATAGGCAGCAGCTTAACACCCTGGGCCGCAATGCAGCCCCTCAAGTCTTCCCTTTCTGTAGCTTTGTTCTCTTCCTCATCCTTTCTTTTTTTTTTTTTTTTTAATTTTTTGACAGGCAGAGTGGACAGTGAGAGAGAGAGACAGAGAGAAAGGTCTTCCTTTTGCTGTTGGTTCACCCTCCAATGGCTGCCGCAGCCAGCGCGCTGCAGCCGGTGCACCGCGCTGATCCGATGGCAGGAGCCAGGTACTTTTCCTGGTCTCCCATGGGGTGCAGGGCCCAAGCACTTGGGCCATCCTCCACTGCCTTCCCAGGCCACAGCAGAGAGCTGGCCTGGAAGAGGGGCAACCGGGACAGAATCCGGCGCCCCAACCAGGACTAGAACCCGGTGTGCCGGCGCCGCTAGGCGGAGGATTAGCCTAGTGAGCCGCGGCGCCGGCTACCCTCTTCTTGAAAGTTCTTCCTGCTGTCCTTAGGTAGGGATGCACAAAGCTGCAAGCTTTGTTTGTAAGAGAACTGGGTTCCTTTCCTTGTCCTCACCGTATGTCACCAAAGCATGATCTTACCTAACACCTTTTAGTAACCCGCCCTGCCTTGGAGGCCTTTTGATGAGAACCATTTTTAGTTTTATGGCAAGCACAGGCTGTACATACATTGCTTTCACTGTGAACTGAATTTGCTGCACATTTGCGGGAAGCCACGAGGGGAAACTGACTGTGTTTTCTGCCTTCTGTTGACAGAATGGTACTCGAAACTTCCAGGACTTTGACTGTCAGGTAAGGCCTGTGCCAGCACCGAGGAGGCTGTGTACGGCTGTGCAGTGCTGCCCTGCCCTGGGTCAAGCGTCTTTAATATGATTTGCTGTCATGTTCAAAAATTGCCTTCCAGGCACCAGTTTTATGTTGGTGGGTTAATGGGTTGAGCTCTTTGTGATGCAGATCTTGGGTCTCCCACATGGGTGGCAGATCCCAGTTACTTGAGACATCACTACTGCCTCTCAGGGTCCACATTAGCAGGAAGCTAGAGTCAGGAGCGGAGGAACCCCGTACTCTGATATGGTATGTACCAGATATGTTTTTTTTTTCCAGATTTTTAATTTATTTATTTGAAAGGCAGAGTTACAGAGAGAGGCAGAAAGAGAGATATATCTTCAATCTGCTGGTTTACTACCCAAATGGCTGCAGCGGCTGAAACTGAGCCAATCTGAAGCCAGAAGCCAGGAACTTCTTCCAGGTCTCCCACATAGGTGCAGAGGCCTAAGGACGTGGGCCGTCTTCTGCTGCTTTCCCAGGTGCATTAGCAGGAAGCTGGATCAGAAGTGGAGCAGCCAGGTCTTGAACCAGCACCCATATAGGATGCCAGTGTCACAGGCGGAGGCTTAACCTGCTATGCCGTAACACCAGCCCTTAGCAGGCATCTTAACTAGTATCTTTTGGTTTTTTTTTAAAGATTTTATTTATTTATTTATTTGAGAGGTAGAGTTACAGACAGTCAGAGGAAGAGACAGAGAGAAAGGTCTTCCATCTGCTGGTTCACTCCCCAAATGGCCACAACAGCTGGAGCTGAGCCAATCAGAAGTCAGGAGCCAGGAGCTTCTTCTGGGTATCCCATGCAGGTGCAGGGGGTCAAGTGCTTAGGCCATCTTCCACTGCTTTCCCAGGCCATAGCAGAGAGTTGGATTGGAAGAGTAGCCGGGACTAGAACCGGTGCCCATAGGGGATGCTGGAGCTGCAGACAAAGGGTTAACCTGTGCCACAGCATTGGCCCCTTAAGTAGTGTCTTAACCGGTAGACTAAATGCCTGCCCCTGGTGATAATTCTTATTCAAAAAGTTATATTTTATTTTTTAATAAATAGTGGTAAGTGAAGTTTGTGTTTAGTTGTTTTTAATTTGACCTGACTTATAATTTGGATCCTATATTGAACCAGTGGAGCTTCATTGCTATTAATATTTTATATGGTTTACTTAAGAGATCATTTGAGAGAGAGTAACAGTAAAATCCAAGATGAGGGACTCCAGAAATGCTATATCACTCTTTTTTTTTTTTTTTTTGACAGGCAGAGTGGACAGTGAGAGAGAGAGACAGAGAGAAAGGTCTGGTCTTCCTTTTTGCCGTTGGTTCACCCTCCAATGGCTGCCACGGCTGGCGCGCTGTGGCCAGCACACCGTGCTGATCCGAAGGCAGGAGCCAAGTACTTATCCTGGTCTCCCATGGGGTGCAGGGCCCAAGGACTTGGGCCATCCTCCACTGCCTTCCCGGGCCACAGCAGAGAGCTGGCCTGGAAGAGGGGCAACCGGGACAGAATCCGGCGCCCCGACCGGGACTAGAACCCGGTGTGCCGGCGCCGCAAGGCGGAGGATTAGCCTATTGAGCCGCGGTGCTGGCCGCTATATCACTCTTACTCAAAAGTATGGAAGTGTTTATTTCTATAAAATTGAACACCCCCCCAAAAAAAGACAATTGGAATACAAAGAGTTACATGTTTATTGCAAAGTAGTTAAGGATATGCCAAAAAAGAACTGTCACCTATTATTTCGCCAATGTTAGTATTTTGATATAGTTCCTGGATTTTCTCATACATAAATATAATTATATAGAAAATAAAATTGAGTTTTATAAATATAAATATGAGTCACTTTTTAATATTAAGGCTTAAAAATAGTCTGGCCAAAACCCTGATACTTTGGGGGAGGCTTTAATATAGTAACATGTTCAAGTGGAACTTGCAGTTCAGTTCTGACACAAATGTGCTGACGGCAAGGGTTTGTGCTGTCATGCGTTTATCACTGCCCTCCAGTGCACAGAAGCTTTGGGTTATGCAGGAGGAAAACCATAGCTCCCTCTCTGCCCCTCCTCCCACCATTCCCGAATGCTTGCCTTCATTCTAGTCTCTGTGAAGGGCTTGTGTGCTGTTCAGGAGCCAAGGAGCAGCAGGGTCAGGAGACCAGCAGCAGGCTGATAGGAGACCCAGGAGGTAGGATTGTGATGTGAAATGATGGCCTGGTTTGCCTGTAAGCTTCCCAGAAGCCACTGGGCTGTTCTTAGGAGACCAAGCAGAATAAATCGGCAGCCAGCCCTGTCACCACTGGACAGGCATTCACTCTTGGTGCTGGCGGTGTCCACTAGCATAGCCGTGGCGTGGACGTGAACTGAAGCCAGCTAATCTGGCTTCCTTCAGGTCTGAGTCTTGACTAAGAAAAATCTTAAAGGAATCTTTGATGCTGTACCGGGGAAGTAATCTTAGTATGGTTGACTAAGAAAGGTATAATCTTGGTTCCTTGGTTGTCCTTAGTGACATCATTGCATATACTCCTCTGAGGCAAGCAACAGTTCTGTTATGGATATTAAAAGTCGTGAAGGAGGGACCCGCGCTGTGGTGTAGCAGGTTGAGCCTCCACCTGCGGCACCTGCCAGCATCCCATATGGGTGTTGGTTCATGTCCTGGCTGAGTCTTGGCATATATTGTCAAATCACCTTCTACTTCTACCAGAGGGGTGCTCAGTAAATACTAATGGAGAGCAAAGAGCTGCCCTCTGCCAGGGCAGAACCATGAACCAGGCTGATCGTGGGTGGAGCTCTTGCTCCTAGGGTACTCCAGGCACCACTGACAGCTGAGTACTTGCATGCTGCTGTTTAATTGCAGTCGCTCTTTAGAGGACTAATGGGTAAAACCCAATCTGTGGGAATTGGTTTTGGAACTATAATTCACATGTATGTACATGTACTTGCCTCTGCAAAGGGGCTTTAGAATGTGTGTGTATATATAATATGTGTGTGTGTATTTGAAAGAGTGACGAGGAGAGAGAAAATCTTCCATCTGCTGGTTCACTCCCCAGATGGTCTCTAGCAGGCACGTTAGTGGGGAGCTGGATCAGAGGTAGAGCAGCCAGGCCTCCAGCTGGTGCTGACATATGGAATGCCACATGGCAAGCAGTGGCATAACACAGGTCTCCTCAAAGGGGCTTAAACAGCTTTAAACCCTAGCAGATCTCTTAGTGAATGGGCATTGTTACAACATAAGAATTAAGTGAAATGGATATCCTGGAATTTCCTTCAAAGGGAAGGGAGAGGTGATTGGTGAGAGCTGGATTCAGTCTGTTAGAGCCAGAGTCAGTGCTCCTTTCCTGGCCTTGCAGACTGTCCTAGATGCCTTCAGCCTCATGTCCCACTGGTTCCCTTCTTGTGCACTGCCCCCACCCACCGTGTGAAATTATTGCTGACCCACCCCCACTTCTGTGTGCTTTTCATTCTTTGCTCACATTTCCTCCCCTTCCTCAAATACATTTTTAAAAATAATTTAGTAAGGAAATACGATCTACTGATAGAAGACTGACTGTGTTTTCTGCCTTCTGTTGACAGAATGGTACTCGAAACTTCCAGGACTTTGACTGGAAGTCAAAGTTTAGAGAAAAATTCTTTTACTGTGGCATTCAATGAAATGCAAAGAATTTTACCCTCCTACACAGGTATAAGATATTTGGGGGTATTCTATCAAACATTCCTATATAGCAATAACAACTAGGGGGAGGCATGTGACACAGCAGGTAAGATACCAGTTGGGACGGCAGCATCCTCTATCAGAGTACCTGGGTTCACGTCCTGATTCCACTTCCCATTCTCATTCCCATTCCAGCTTCTTGCTGCTAATGCACATTCTAGCAGGTGATGGCTCAAGTACTTGGGTGCCTGCCACCTATGTGGGAGACCCAGATGGAGTTCCTGGCTTCTGCTTTGGCCCGGCCTGACCCAGCCCCAGCTTTTGGGGTCATTGGGGAGTGAACTAGTAGATGAGACAGAGATCTCTGTATCTCTCTGCTTTTCAAATAAATAATAAAAACTGTACCCAAGGATCATACAGTACTACTTATTGGAAACAGGATAAAATTCCATACTAATAAAAATATTGACATTCCCTAAAGTACAAATTGTCATTTAAGTTTACCTAAATTATTTTAGATTGGCCAGGGGAGGGAACAAAATATTAACAGACATGAAGTGATCGTAGCTCTGCTGAGTTTAGAGAGATTGGATGAGTCAGATCGATCTTCTGATGACAGCTCAAGAATAAGGACTTGGGAAAAGGTGAGAGCTGGTTATTATCAGATAGTGATAATGTCCTACTCTTAAACCTAAACTCTTTTTTTAAAAGTTTCTCTTCACACCAAGGTCAATCATTTTTTTTAAAGATTTATTTTATTTATTTGAAAGACAGAGTTACAGTGAGAGGTAGAGACAGAGAGAGAAGTCTTCATCCGCTGATTCACTCCCCAGATGGCTGCAACGGCCAGAGCTGTGCCGATCTGAAGCCAGGAGCTTCTTCCAGGTCACCCATGTGGGTACAGGGGCCCAAGGACTTGGGCCATCTTCTACTGCTTTCCCAGGCCATGAGAGAGAGCTGGATCGGAAAAGGAGCAGCTGGGACTAGAACCAGTGCCCATATGGGATGCCGGCGCCACAGGCGGAGGATTAACCAAGTGAGCCACGGTGCCAGCCCCGATAATGTCCTACTCTGAAATATTTCTCTTCACATCAAGGTCAATCCTTTTTTTTTTTTTTTTTTTTTTTTTTTTTTTAAGATTTACTTATTTATTTGAAAGTCAGAGTTACAGAGAGACAGAGGCAGGGGGAGAGAAAGAGAGGTCTTCCATCTGCTGGTTCACTCCCCAGATGTCCAAAGCCAGGAGCCAGGAGCTTCTTCCAGGTCTCCCACACGGGTTTAGGGGCCCAAAGACTTGGGCCATCTTCTACTGCTTTCCCAGGCCATAGCAGAGAGCT